CCCACCTGGACACTCGCAGGCCTCCACAGCAGACACATCTTCTTTATATAACTTGCTCATGTCTTGGCTATAAGACCCTCTGAAAACATTCATTGCATTTGCAACTTCTGGATTAATATTGATCCTTAGATACTTGTATGGGCTCTAATTTTCTATTGAGTCTCCATAAGTCAATGGACCATGATCTGTTGAGGCTTTCTTCCCCAGACCCCTCACTTCTGCCCTCCTTCTCCCTTAGTACGGCTGTCACCCTGGTCTGGGTCTCCACACCCTCACTTGAGGATGCTGTCCTCTCTCTCTCTCTCATTTCGCTTCTGCTTGTAACTCACGAGGATCAGCAACATGGGCTAAAGGGAAAGGATCAGAGACAGGAAAATACAGGCTGGAGGGAACCTGAGTGCATCACCCTGCCTCCAGAGTTTTGGTGATGGTCCAGTAGATACCTATAGAAGTGCAGGCACCTGTGCCCGCTTGGGTCCCCAAGTCTGTCATCCAAGGAGATGCAGCAGTGGTAGGACCATAAGCAAAAGAAAGCACTGAGTGGAAGAAAAGGAGGTCTCAGCAGCACAGCAGATCTTCCTAATGCTCGACTCAGCACAGAGTCCCACATAGCTGCAGGACACAGCCCAGAACCCACACTGCCTCCCAGCATCACAGCAGTGGGCTTGGACAGGAGATGGCAAGAACAAGGCAGATCCAAAGACCCAGCCGGCATATCAGTAACAGCAGGAGATCAAAGAAGAAACCCAGAAACAAGGGCCAAGAAAACACCATGAGGGTGGAGGGCATGTGCCTTCTTTCACTCAGGGCTTCTGCTGGTTTTCCACCTCCAGCTAATGGGTGTGAAGCTGTCAGGGTGCCTCTGCCCACATCAGCAATGGGTCAGAGACCAAGAGATATACTGGGCAGGGCCTGCTACTGAAAAGCAAGAGAAGCTACAACTGCACAGGGTTGCAGAAAGCAGTGACAGCTGCCAGCCCTCCCTTCTACTTACTCAAAAACTCTCTACAGCGCCTTCTCCCTCATCATTATCATCATCATTAAACCCGCAGTGACTGGGCATGCATTAACCATGAAGACATCACCTCTTACCTTTCTCCCTGCTCCCTATTCTCCAGCCACTCAGGTCTCCTTGGTGTTCCTTGAATAAACTAGGTTAAGTTCCCACCCCAGGACCTTTGCACTTGCTGTTGCCTCTGCCCAGAAGGCTCATCCCATAAGTGCCTTCACAGCATTTTTTCTCTCCTCCTTCTATCTTCACTCAAATGTCTCGGGCTTTCCTAATCACCCTATTTAACATTGCAAATCCAGGCTGGGCACAGTGGCTCAAACCTGCAATCCCAGCACTGGGAGGCCAAGGTCGGTAGATCACTGGAGGTCAGGAATTTGAGACCAGCCTGGACAACATGGTGAAATCCCATTTCTACTAAAAGCACAAAAATTAGCCAGCCACAGCGGTACGCACTTGTAATCCCAATCACTCAGGAGGCTGAGACACTAGAATCACTTAAACCTGGGAGGTAGAGGCTGCAGCAAGCTGAGATCATGCCACTGTACTCCAGCCTGGGCAACAGAGTGAAACTGTCTCAAAAAATAAATAAATAAAAATCAATTACAAATCCCCTCCTTCACCACCTAGCATTCTCCCTTTCCTGTCTTATCCTTCACAGCATTTATTACATTGACATCCTGTATGTTTACTTATGTGTTTGTTTATTGTCCTCTTCACCAGAGGCAATGTGCTGAAAGTCAAGAAAGGGTAAAACAGTAAAACATTAGGAGACTGACAGGGGTAGATCACTTGAGATCAGGAGTTCAAGACCAGCCTGGCCAACATAGCAAAACTCTGTCTATCAAAAATACAAAAAATTAGCCAGGTGTAGTGGCCTGTGCCTGTAATCCCAGCTACTCAGGAGGCTGAGGCAGGATGATCACTTAAACCTGGGAGGCAAAGGTTGTAGTGAACTGAGATCACGCCACTGTACTCCAGCCTGGGCGACAAAACAAGAAAAAAAGAAAAAAAAGAAATGATAAAACAACACTCAAGAGAGAAAAGGGATGTTACCAGCAAAACAACCAATGCCATTATGCCCCTTTTCTTCTTCCCATTGCAAGCCATTTGCCTCCCAGTCTTTAACATCTGGACTGAGACCTTGTCCTTCAAGTTTTCCCTCGTGGCTCTTTAATTCCCTGGTCTTCTCTTTCTCTAAACAACATCGTTTATTCTGTGCAAGATGTCACACTAACCAAAAGCACCTGCCTCCTTGGGCTACCGGGAGAATTAAATGAATTCGTTCGTTGAATGCTTAGAAAAGTACTAGGACAGTGCTCAGTCATTACTAAGTGTCCAGGAAATCACAGCCATTGTTACTATTTAGTATACGTACCTTCTATCATATCTACTGATTCAAGTCTTATTTCTACAGCTAGAGTATAAGCAAACTGAAGGCAAAGAGCTTATCCCACATTGCGGAATTTCTAGAGTAGTTACTCCAGGTTTTTAATGATTATTTGACAACTGATTGAAACGAAGTATTTCAACTTTTAAAGATTCATTTGAAAACCCTTACAACATCTATTTAAACAGTGATTCCAATCCTTTACCTCTCCCAGGACTGACCTGGAATGCAAATACAGCAAATCCCTGAAAACAGCATTTATAACAGGAGCTTTGCTATAGCATGAACAGCAAAGCCAAAATACTATACAAAAGATCAAACAAATATTGACTCAAAGAATTTTCCCCAAGGCAACTGTTATAGTCTTATCTTGAATGAATGTTTGCACAGTTAATTAAGTATTGCTATGGACTCAGCAAAATCCCAGGCAGACCCTGCCAAGCCGAGTTTTACATTCCCACTGCTTTATCGCTATTTACAAAGCCACGCACAAGGCCCTCTCCTCCTAGCCCCTCACCTATCAGTCCTCCTAATGCCGGGTGTGAAATTAAATGATAAGTAAGTCATACACCTTTTATCTGTAGACAAGAGATAATGCAATCTCAGTGCCAAGGATTCCATTTACCTATCCCACAGCAAATATGCTGTCATTACCCTCCCAGAAATCAATCAGGCTGCATCTGTTACTACCTGTTGACTTCTTGGAAATGTATGAAATAGTACAATCATGTAGACAGAGAGGTGTTTACTGGTTTCACAGAACTCTATACACCTGATACTAATGAAAGTCTACTTCCTATGGTTACCAACCAAGAAGCCTGCAAGAACACCTCAAAATCACAGGATGTTCTGTATAGTGAATAAGCTGATTGCTAGCTTACAATGGGTTGTCTAAATATGGAGGTCAGTTATGATGAACAGAAGCCAATAAGAGGCATTCACAACCATTCTTCCTTCCCTTCTTCCATTCAGCCATCATTTATTGAGCACTTATGATGATCCAGGCTCTATTCCAGGCACTGGGAATATCATGGGAAATACAATTACCATACTCTCAGGAACATTTATGAGGGGGGAAGGAGATCAATAAAATAAAGAGGTTAAAAATTTATAGTGTGTTAGATATTAATGAGTTCTAAAGAGAAGAAACATTAAGAAGCAGGGTATGAAATCCCAAAGCCCCAGCAGAAGGAATAAACCTGTAGATGGGTAGCCAAAAATATACTCAGAAAGAAGCCACTATTTGAAGAAAGTGGAAAAGCCAGCCTTGCAGGGAATTGGGGAAGTGTCTTGCAGGAGGAGGAGAGTAAAATGTCCAGGTCCTGTGGCAGAGCATGGCTGGTGTGTTGAGGAACATTCAGGAGGCCAGTGTGGTGGAGCCTGGTGCTCACTGGGAGACAGAGAAGGAATAGAAGCAGGGAGCAAGACCCTACAGCGCTTTGCTTCCAAAACATACACATTTTACTAATCTCAGAAAAGCCACCTGTTTACCAAATTTTCATTTACTCACAACTCTCTCGCTGTTCTTCTTCTGAGAATGTATATACTTCATGAAAAACAATTCACATACACACACGTACATACACATGCACACCACCCACCCCTGCAATTTAAAAAAAAGAAAAGAAAATTTTACAGCTAGCCAACATATTGCCTGGGGAAAGCTCTTACGCTTCTATTAATAAAAATGAAATGGCTTTGAGTGTAAGCTTCTGCAGGACTGGAACCAGGCCTCACAGAAGTGGCCACTGCTCAGCACCATGGACCACGGGGCGCTCGGCGATGCTGTGGAAAGAGTCATGTGGGCTAACAATAATAATATGCAGAGTTATAGGAGATGGGAATGTTGAAATTTATCACAGGGACTTTTTTAAATGTGGCAATGCTTCAAAGTCTTTGGCAAATTTAAATGCCAAGCTGGCTCATGCAATATCCAGACCACAGATCCTTCCTGCCCAACCAGCTTCTCAACATAAATAAGATACTATCAGCCAAGATCTGTGACACAGCAGCAGGCTTTGGGGTGGTACCTTAAGATCTGCTATCTTCCAATTCTATTCAATCCTAATCAACCTAGTTTATCACATAAACAGTTTTCCATTACAAAACATTTCTAAGCAATTCTACTGTAGTGATTCCACTTTTCTTAGGTATACACAGTCTATGTCACCAAGGCAAAAAGCAGGACTACAAGGCATGTCCTGTGTAACAAAAATTAGTTATTATGTTACATGGATATTTTGTGTAATGGTAAGAAAAACTTAAAATGTAAAAAAAAAAGTTATGATTATTAATGATTAGCCATAACTGTCTCCGTCAGATTCTCCCGAGGCCACCCCCACCAGCTCACCCACAAAATGGACACATTCCTGTGGCTGAGTCACTTTTCTGGCTCTCCCTGTTTGGAAGTTATATCAAAACTTAAAAAAATATATATATACATAGGGCTGGGTGTGGTGGCTCACGCCTGTAATCCCAGCACTTTGGGAGGCCAAGGTGGGTGGATCACGAGGTCAAGAGATCGAGACCATCCTGGTCAACGTGGTGAAACCCCGTCTCTACTAAAAATACAAAAAATTAGCTGGGCATGGTGGCACGTACCTGTAATCCCACCTACTCAGGAGGCTGAGGCAGGAGAATTGCCTGAACCCAGGAGACGGAGGTTGCGGTGAGCCAAGATCGTGCCATTGAACTCCAGCCTGGGTAACAAGAGCAAAACTCCGTCTCAAAAAAAAAAAAGTATACATAATAAAGAACTTCAGGGTGGGGGTGTGGCTGAAACTTCAGAAAGGTATGGATAGGGAAGTAAAAATTAGTTTGAAGAAGAAGCCGTGTGGAACAAGAGACAGAGGGGATACTTTTTAGAAATGTTCCTTAGAAGACACCAACAGCCAAAATGATAGAAGAAACTGAGCATAAGTTTGCATTTCAGGAAGGCTTGGAGGCTGCAGGCAATAAACTTGGAGTAGGTGACTTCTCAGCCCCATGCTGTGGGCCTTACAAAATTATCAAGCGTTTCTTTCATTCCCTCTCTGAAAAGGATTCCAATATGGTATTCCTTGAAGTACATGTGGGTGACCGTCAGGACGTTGTTTCAGAGCGTGAAGTCAAATGCATGCCAACCTAGTTTTATAAGAAGGGACAAAAGGTAGGCAAATTTTCTGGAGCTATAATAAGGAAAATCTTGAAGCCACCATTAATGAATTAGTCTAATGATGTCTTCTTGAAAATATAACCAACCACTGGCTATTTAAAATTTGTAATTTTTTTATTTACAAAAAGTATAAAGTATGGAGACTATACACCCAACTGCATCTGGATGATAATAAAATATTAACTCAAAAAAAGTGTTACTAATATTTTTTGAAAGATGTAAATGAAGCTTGAAAATTCAGAAATATTTGTTTGTTACTTTGTTTCTGAACTGTGTTCCTCTCATTGGTAAGTTGTATCAATTACTCTTGGAATAACTAGACTTAGAGAAAGAGTCTAACCTGTGGACATAAGAAATGCACCCAATTTTTTACTTGACATAATACATTCTGCATTATTGAGGGCAATGACATATTCCAAAACAAAGCATGGTAAAAAGGCTGCAGGAAAAATCATGACCAGATTTCTCCTGCCCTGCCTCAAACACAAGCCAGCTATTCTACAGAGGTTAAAAATTACATACTGATTTCTTCTCAAACGCCCTTACAAAGCAGAGATTTGGGCAAAGATTCATTCTAGCTTACATTTTCCAGTCTCAGCAAAGAAGCCCAAAAAACCAAAACCTCCATCCTCACAGTGGTGAGGTGTTGCCCACTCACCTTGGAAAAACAGGACTTTCTATTGAGACCATCCCCTGCCTCCCCTCCTATCAGGCCAGTTGGCATCCTTCCAAAGCAAAAGCTTTTCTACCCTCCAGAAAGTTTTGTTAACGAAGATTCATATATAATACAGAATATATGCTACCAGTAAGTAGTCAATTAAATTTTTCTGTTGCAAAAAAAAAAATAATTATACCAGGAATCTTCCTAAATTGTATAAAATTTAAATAAAAATTAGAGAAAAAACAATATTTTAAAACAAAGATTATCTAAGAGAATTCCCTTTAACCAAAGGAAAGAAGCAAAGACTATATAGTACCACTTTATTGCCCTACAAGGATAATATATAATGCCTCCAATTGGAAAAAAAAAAAAAAAAAAAATGAAGTTTTAAAAGGTTATACATAGAAAAGATAAGAAAAATATATATACTTTTAAAATGTTTTCGATAAATATTCTAGAGGGATAAATTGCTTTTTACTTTTCTGTATTTTCTGATGCTCTCATAGCATGTACTCACTGATAATGGAAAACAACTTTTTTTTTTTGAGATGGAGTCTCACTCTGTCACCAGGCTGGAGTGCAGTGACCTGATTTTGGCTCACTGCAACCTCCGTCTCCTGGGTTCAAGCGATTTTGCTGCCTCATCTTCCCCAGTAGCTGGGACTACAGGTGCACACCACTATACCCAGCTAATTTTTGTATTTTTAAGAGAGACGGGGTTTCACCATGTTGGCCAGGATGGTCTTTATCTCTTGACCTTGTGAACTACCCACCTCAGCCTCCCAAAGTGCTGGGATTACAGGTGTGAGCCGCAACACCCAGCCAAAAACAACTTTTTAAAAGAGGCTTAAATTCTTAAAACATTCAAAGATTAAAATGTTTATTAAGGGTCATAAAGTATAAATATAAAATATGATCAGGAAAATATGATGATAAAATATTATCATCACTAAACATGCAACCTTTCCCAGATAAATCATTTACACACTACATACCAGTGCTTCTCAAACCGGAGCAGGCATAAGAACCACCTGGAGAGTGTGTTAAAATACAGGCGATAGGAATAGTAGGCAGCCATTAAAAAGAAGGAAATTATGTCCTCTGCAGGAACCTAATGCAGCTGGAGGCCATTATCCTAAGCAAATTAACATGGAATAGAAAACCAAATACTGCATGATTTCTGTTTACAAGTGAGACTTACATATTGGGAATAAAGATACACATGGAAATAAAGATAGCTACAATAGACATGGGACTACTAAAGGGGAGAGAAAAGAAGGGGTGCAAAGGTTGAAAGCTAACTCTTAGGTACTATCCTCACTATCTGGGTGTCAAGATCAATTGTATCCCAAACCTCAGCATCATGCAATACACCCACGTAACAAACTTGCACATATACCCCCAAATCTGAAATAAAAGTTGAAATTATTTTTAAAAGGAAAAACATAATGATAAATAGAACATAGTGGCTCTAGACACAAGACACAAATGGGTAGCCAAAAATGGTACTGCCCAATCTGTACCATGGGCCAGTGAACTATAGCCCAAGAACTAGCAGCTTTTTTCTATAAATAAAATTTATTTTATTACAGGCTCAGGCCTGTAATCCCAACACTTTGGGAGGCCAAGGTGGGCAGATCTCTTGAGCTCAGGAGTTAGAAACAAGCCTGAGTAACAAGATGAAACCCAGTGTCTACAAAAAATATGGCCAGGCACAGTGGTACCTGTAGTCCCAGCTACTTGGAAGGCTGAGGCAAGAGGATTGCTTGAGCCTGGGAGGTGGAGATTACAGTAAGCAGAGATAGCGCCACTGCACTCCAACTTGGGCAACAGAGCAAAACCTTGTCTCAAAAATAAATAACTAACTAAATAAGTTGTGTTGGAACACACACACACACACACATACACGCGCACACACACACACACACACACACACACAAGACCCCCACAGGTGATAGAACCTGATAGTCTGCATTTTAAGCTCTCAAGTGGTATTGATGCTGCCAATCAATCCGGCTCACTTTGAGTAACCAGATTTGATGCAACAGGAAGTGACTGCAGTCTAGCTTGAGTTCTCTCCTAGGAAGCATGCCACGCTCATTCTAGACTGAGCAGAAGAGGAAGTGAACTCAAGATTCCACCTTCTTTCAGGGTTCTAAAGCAGGAGCACAGATTCATTTCTCTCTAATCAATCCTTGGTGATTGAATGCTTAGTCATGTCCTTACTAGGGAGTCAGTGAAATTAAGATAATCATGACTCCAGGACTAACAAGCTTGTTAGAGCATCTGATGGAACCAGCCTTTGGATCCAACTTGGCAGACTGCCTCTACCCTCTCTAGAATTCTCTCTACACTTAGCCAGTCTTTTGACAGGCTTCAAATACCACCTTGTTTCCTACAATGATTTTAGGGTCTAAGAACAGGAGGTAGTCCATGAATTCAGTAACTATCACTTATAAGGAGACAAAGAAGGCAGACATACACTCCATGAGCTGCCCAAGAGGGAGGGAGGGTAAACTTAAAAATAGTCCAGGCAGTCCCTGCCCTTTTACTCTGAACTATGCACTCCCCAGACACATCAAAGTCATCTGGGAGCCAATGCCACAATCATACTCGGAAACTACACAAAACCTCAGTGAGAGACTACGATGCCTAAAAAATTACTCAGGCCCCACTCAAACTCCTCCATAAGCCAGCCCATGAAAGCACCAGAGGGTGACCATCATGTTTCCTTGCACCCTAAGGAAGAAGGTAACTGGCTGAGAGGCCTCCATGTTCCAGGCAGTAACAGCTCCTGAGAGGAACTAACTTAATTAACCATTCAGATGAGCACAGAGAATTCCCACCAGCCTCCAAGTCCCCAAACTCCACATCTGCCATTTATTCCCAGTGCTGTCATTTCCTGCCTGTGGTGAGCTAATTACACACAGTGGGAATTCTGGAGCTGCCGGTTCTAATGTTTATCTGCTGTTAACTTGTTGTGTGACCTCAAAGATATGTCTCTAGTGCCTTTATTTCCTCTGCTATAAAGCAAGATAAGGGAATGACATGCTTGACAAAGTGCCCTAATACTATAGTCATTGCTATCCTCAAGATGCTCGCAGGAATTGTAATTAACATGTCTCTTTTACTGAAGCCTTTAAAGATAACTGATGACATGTCGTCAAAAGTGTGGGATCTCAAAAGATGTTTTCTCTTTTGCTAAAACAGGTTTTAGTGGCAAATGCTACCTATAAAACTGTTGATAAAAGCAGTATCAAATGTGCTTCTTTGTAAATCACTGTTTCATTCAAGGGGATGTCCATAACCATAACTCTAACCATGACTTCATAAGTAGAAAAGATGCTAGAAAAGTCACCCTAAGTTCATTTTCCATAACCTTAACATACAGCATTGAAAACATAGGCAAAATAGGGCTTCTCTTCTAAAACTATGTTTTAGAACACTAGATAGTGACACAGTCTGTGCTGCTATATCAGAAAAGCTGGTTACAAAACATTTTGTATAAAAAGCAATCAGTATAATCAGATTTTGTAAGTCTATATGGACATCCAGATCTATCTGTTATGGCCCTGGCCCTTTTATTCCATATTTCCAGTTATAACATATTGTTAATCATTGATGTGTCCCAAATTTACTGTGAATTGTCCCAGTCTTTTATATAGAAGTTTTTAATTCATGTTTTTCACATGTACCCCAAAACCTAAAATGCAATAAAATATATATTTAAAAAATAAGTTTTAAATTAAAATATTCAAACTTGTTGGCTTTTTCCCTGATAGTTGCTTCTTTTGCTTTAAAGCCATAGAAATTGTCATTCCTGCAAAAATCTAATACATATTATATTTTCTGCTACTTTTCCTATAATTTGATTTGCAATATTC